CTGCTGGTGGAAAGGCTCCAATGGCCTGAGCCCTCTGTGCTCCCAAAGGAAAGATGGCAGGAAGACAGCGTGGTGGGAGACACGAAAGACAGCTCTTTGCAGGCTGGGTCTTTGTTTTTGTGGTTTTGAACAAAGCAGAGCCCATCCCCTGAAATGTGGGAAGCAGGGAGAAAAGAAGTATTTACTGGCGATGCTTAGGTTGCAGTAAAATCCAAGATGTGTTGAAAGGACACTCCTAAAAATATGCTTTTATATTTAAACACCTGTTCTCAGCAGGCTTTTTGTGAATTAGATGAGTCAAACTCCAGCCCTGGGCCAAAGCCCAGCTCCATTAATCACATGGGGGCAACCTCCCTCCCTCCTCCAGCTGCGGCTTCCCCGCTGCATCCTGGCCCACAGCTGCTGAAGGGTGGCTCTTCAGTCTCCCCTGCTGCACAGCACCCACCTTCCCAGCTCATCTCAGCCAGGAAAGGTGTGTGCAGCGTGAGGGAAGACCTTGAGGAGGAGCAGAGATGAAACAGGTTTAGGAACATTAACTCCTAACCCTCACCTTCCAACTCAGCCTCTTGGACCTTTCTTCTCTGCATCTCAATGGCCTCTCTCTTGCAGTTATTTTTCTCTGGGGAACTTCTGGAGGTGAAGCAAATTTCCTCCTCCCACTCCCCATTTGGGTCCCCAGGCAGACAACACTGGCTCTGTGCTCTTTCTCAAGTCCAGCTTTTTCCATCCACTGAATTTCACAGCACATCAGCTCAGGACATGGCACAGACCCACCAGACATAAGGTCTCTGCATCAAAGCAAATACCTGAAGAGCTGTTAACATTATAAATAAAATTTTCAGAAGGTTTTGGGTCAGAACTGTAGAAAAACCCAAGCAAAGATGTTATCTGGGTAAACATTTGGAAAGCCAAGTGAGGGATGATGGCTCTGCTTTGAGCAAGGTACACATTGCCTTTGCTACACACAAGTTAATGTTAGAAAGGCAGATTAATATATAAACTTGTTCACTGAAGGGTAACACCAATCCAGCAATTTGCAGTGGGGAAATGAAGGTTTTCCTACTTATTCCATAGAGACTAAATCTTACTGTTTTCTTCTCAGAGCATGGCAAAAACTGTCTAAGCTAGTTTGAAATCTAAACAACCTTCTGATGGACAATCACTGGGCTTCTTCTAACAAATCCACAGTGAAAATCTGTACCAAGCTCTCCAGGCTCTCTCCAAACATGCCATGGTGTCCTCACAGTGCAAGGCAGGAGTGTCCAGGTCCTGGCAGTGGTCAGCCAGCATCCATGACATAGTGGAGGACAACCAGGAAGGAGCAGCATCGCCCCATGCTATATTCCAGGGAAGTGGATACCCTTTGAAGGATGCCTGGGAAGCATGGGAGAAATCACCCTTTCATTCAGCAAGCAAGAGGGAGAGATCCATTCTGACATTATGTATTTAACTTTGAATTTTAATCTTTTTTGTGGTTAATACAGGTGACCACAAAAAAAACCCTCACAGTTTTCCAGAACTGTTATGACAAGAGATTGCATCTATCTTTGTTGAAGCCTTGCTGAAAACACAGCAAGTATTAGGAAAGAAAACTAAATCTAAACACATGTGCTGTGATATTTATTGTTACAAGATCAGCTCCTTCAGTGAACTAACTGGAAATAGCTTAGAAAATTTCTGTTGGGAACAAAAACCTGGAAAAAGCCAGCTACCTAGGTTCTGTTTTGATTTTGTATTGGAGGGAGTCTGTTGTTTTACCCAGCAAGGAAACTCCTCATGTTTGGCTCTCTGGGGCTCCCATCATAACTCCTGGGAGTGCTGCAGGTGCCCATCACACCTCACCAGGGTGAGCAGCAACACAGCCCAGCACAACACCCCTCCCAAATGCTGGTGCTGGGATCTGCTTGGGGTGTTTTCCCTGACAGGGGAACATGTCTGTGGGGCAAGGGTATGTTCTTCCATCTTCCCCAGCCCTGCCTGGCACCAACACTGCTGAGTGCAAGGGCCAGGTTGGGCTGGGCTGGGCTTGGACTGGCTACAGCCATGGAGATCTGTCCTGTGCCCAGAGGGTTTGTTGCTCCAGGAGTTGAAGACAAGAGACCAAAGACCTGAGGAAGCAAAAAGCTCAGGCTCTGCATCACAGAAGAACAACAATTCCTCCCTGTAACAAAGAACAAGTCTGAACTAGAGGGTCTCCCTTTGAGGTTAAAGTGAGGTGTAGGATAGGGTCTGAGATCATCTCGCAGCAACCATGGACTGGGGAGAGGGCAGGGAACAAAAAATGCTGCTGGAGCTGGCTGCAATTTTTCACATGCCCTTTCTCTTCACTGATGGAAGACTGTCAGGAGAGAGGAGTGACACTCCTGCCTGTAGTCTGGGGATAGGATGAGACATGGCATGAGGTAGAGTCAGGTATGAGTTAACAGTACGGTTCAGTCTCATACCTGGGGACTGAGAAATCTGGAAATAACATCTGAAAGTCACATTTTGTCCAGGCAATCGCATGCCCCAACTTCACTTTGGCCTTTGCTCATAAAAGACCAGGCAAATTCTACAGCAGGATAAATAAGTGCTAGTGGCTTCAATGGATAATGGTAATCTTAAAATAATCCCACATTCCTCAAATAAATGTGATGGTTTAGAAAGACTTGGGTGTAAATATGTACAAGTATAAATGTGTGTGTATATGCATGTATGCATTTATCTCTCTAATTAAATCTTTTATTAGAAGGCATGATTGAAGAGTGCTAACAGTGGGCATAATAGCATACATCCTTTTCTTTCCCAAAGCAGAGGCTGAGAGTGCCAGCACAGCAGGAGTCAGAAGAGGCCATCTACCATGTAACTCCAGCATCATTGTCCAGAAGAGCTCCTGGGCTTCCACAGGATTTGGGAAAAGCCAGGAGCCAGCACTGCTGTCTCCCTCAACACTGTGCTTTTGATGTGAAGGATTCTGGCTCCTTGCTGGTCTGGCTGGGTGCCATGCAAAATTGATCCACATGCCATATTTGGCACTTGTACCTCACACTTCCACCCTTGCTCTTGAAGAGCAGCCAAAACACTATCCACTGGCCCTGCTGGGAAATGGTCTTAAAAGGCACCAGGCAGTCATAAAAAGGAATTTGCCAATTTTAATTGATTTTTCTGAGGAGTCATGTGCTTATTAGGCCTTTAGCTTTTGGGAAATTTTCTCTTTAATTCTCACCAGTCCTTTAGGGGCAGGGAAATATCACTGAATGGCCTCAGAGCCTTTCAGTGTCACTACTAAACCACAGCAGCATTTGGGATCACTGCTGCTCAAACACTTTCCTGGCTCCAGCAATGATCTGCTTCAAAACACAAGGTTTGGCTCGTTTTGACAGCTGGTTTATGGAGCCAGCATTGCTTCCAAGTGAATCTGGGGAACTGTCCTGGAATGAACTGTTTCCATGGGGGCAGCCAGGAAACTTTCCAGGAGGCTCCACTCCCTCAGAGACAGCCAGCAGGGATGGAGGAGGAGGAAGAATTTGCTCACTTCTTGTTGAGAAGAATTTTTGTCTCTAATGCTTCCAGAGTCTGTTCCCCTTGGGACATTTAGTTTTGGGCTATTTAATCCCATATTCAGCTCCACCATCTCCTCCTCAGCAACCAGGCCGCATCATTTCTCCTTTCTCCAAGACCTGCCTCAGATCCAAAACAACTTTGTGACTGGCCTGGCTCTGGACCCAGGGCTCTGGATGTGACACCACACCCCCACGCTCCCAGATGATCTACTCTTCTGACAGAACATCCTTCTCAGTCACAGTTTGTGTGGGAAGGCACCTATGAAGGTCATCTAGTTCAACCCCCTGCCATTCCAGTACACCCAGTCTCTCAGAGCCCCATGGCTCTGACCTCGAATGTTTCCAGGGATGGGGCATCTACCACCTCCCTGGGCAACCTGTGCCAGTGTTTCACCACCCTCTTTGTAAAAAAATCTCTTCCTTACATCTAGTCTACATCTGCCCTCTTTTAGTTTAAAACCTTACTCCTTGTCCTATCAATACATGCTCTGGTAGAAAGTCTATCCCCATCTTTCTTGTAAGTCCCAATTGCTGTGAGCTCATCTCTCTAACAATGATCTGACCTCTCATTGCCTTCTTTCCTCCAGCCCCCTCCACTTCAAATTCTTGGGCTTTAGCTCAGTGTTCAGGAAGAACCAGCAGAATGACTGACTGGTAGATGCAATCATTGCAGTCAGTGCCGAGGAGCAGCAAAAGGAATTACACCTCTGTGCCTCCTGCCTTTATCAGCCTCTGGTTTGAAAGGAAGGGAAGCAGAACGGGCTGGACACCAAACAGCCACTGTACTTCCCTGCCCTCCGTCCCTGGAGGGAATGACAGCCCTGCCTTTAATATCTATCATCTTGCACTGTCGAACAATATGCAAATATTGAACTGCTGGAAGCAAAGAGCAGCCGAGGACGGCTGGGGGATCAGCTCCACAGGCTTGACAGGCTGTCGGGTGACTCTGTCTGTAGCCATCGGCTAAAGGTGTGCCCGGCTGGCCCACCCCTTGCCCGGGGGCTTCCCTGTAACTCCAGGCACACGGCCGGAACCGCACTCAGTGCCGCAAACCCTCCCCGCGGGGCATTCCCCAGGCTGGGCTGTTCTCCACAGCTCTGCAGGACCCGTCCGTGAGAGCTGTGCTAAAGTGTAGCCCAGGAGTGCTGCTCCTGCTGCATGGCTCCCGAGGATGACAACAATGTCCTCCGCCAGCCCGGGGAGATGTTTGTAAGGATCTGGTGCTTGGGAGGCCCGAGCTAACGGGCTGGGCTGGAAACTTTTGGAAGGGACAGGGGAGCGCGGCAGCCTGCCCAGAACCGCGATCAGAGACGGCCGCGCACCCTCCCCGGCGCCGCCGCTCCCTCCCCCGGCCCCGGGGCGCTCCGGGGTGGGATTCTCCCCCCGAAAGGCTCCCGGACCGCCGAGCGCCGCTCCCGCCCCGGCCGGGAGAGGCGGCGGCTCCCGGCGGCTCCGGCCATGGGCAGCGGCAGCAGCCGGCGGCGGGGGCCCGCGGGCAGAGCGGGGCAGAGCCGGGACCCGCCGGGGACAGCGCCGGCCGACGGCGAGGGGGCGGCGGCACCGCCCGGCCCCGGCCGCCGAGCCCCGGCTGCCGGAGGCAGCGCCGAGACCCGGGCCGGCGGCAGCGGCGCGGAGGCGGCGGGAGGCGGCGGCGGGGCCCCGCTCCAGCAGGCGGTAAGTGCCCGCCGGTCCCGAACGGCACCCCCGGCCCTCCCGGCGGTGGCCCCGGGCCCCCCAGCCCAGCCCAGCCCAGCCCGGGTGTCCCCGCCGCCCTGGGCAGCCCTGCCGCAGCCGGCGCCACCCGCCGCGGCCGCGGCTTCCTCCGAACATCAACAGCGTTACATTCTTTTGATCTTCGCTGCGAGCCAGGCTCCAGGCTCTCTTTGCGTTTTCTCTTTTCTGCTCTCTTTGCGTTTTCTCTTTGCTGCTTTCTTGGCGTTTTCTCTTTGCTGTTCTCTTTGCGTTTTAAGTCTCCGGTGCAAGGCAAACCTAGTCCCGAGAGAGGCCATCCCGTTTTTCGGTCTCCCGGTGCTACTGGAAGTTTCTTTTCCTGACTTGTAAAAATAGGTCGACTTTTTAAAGTTCGGTTCCTGCTTTTTCCTGGGTCGGGCTTGTAAACAGAAGGTTTAAAATGTGAACATAAAGCTGCCCCTTAATGTTTGCCAATCTGCTGCAACTGCAGTCTGGCTCGTCCTAAAGGCACATTTCAGTCTCTTTAACAATAATGGATTTGCTTCCGAGGGAGTTGAGATTCATCTTTTGGGCTTTTTTTCCAATCCAAGAATAACAGCAGCATATATATCAACTGGTGATGAGGTCAAAAATCACCGACATCTTTCATCTTAGCTTGGCTTTGGAAGCTGTGTGTTTTTTGTTAGATAAACACTGCTCTCCACAGATACACGCAAGTTGTCAAAATAAAGTAATAAATTCAAAAATTTAAAGAAATATTTAGGACCCAGGAACATTCTACATTGCATGCCTCAGTTTTGCTCTTTAGAAGGGTATCATTTCCATCACTGAACTGCACATCCGTGGGATTACTGTAATACAAACTAAATTTTCCATTCGGAAACTTGGCAGGGTTCTGTATGAGAACCCTTTATTTAGACAGGTTTTAAAGAAAAACCTCGAAGTAAGGTTTGGTAATTGAAGAAAAAAGAAATAGACATCTTGTATTGACATATTGTTTTCCTTGCTCTTTAAACTCCAAACCCTCCTGCAGAATGAATGGAGCTTACTCCAGCACTACTTGCTCCTCTGAGGGCCTCTCATTTAGGAGCAATCCTCCTGACTTCTCCCATTTGTCTTTACTTATGGGAATAGAGGCTGCTAAGAGAAGTCTCAGGTAGTTTCAGGGCAAACTTGAAGCTTTTTTTGGTAGCACTTTATTTTCCTGAACCTGAGATGGCAGAGACAGAAGTCATGGGCTTAGTATTCTGACTCCTTGAGGCCTAAAAAGTCACATGCCTGTGAAAAGGAGGGAGGAAACTGTTTGGAGCACCAGGTTTTGGTTGTTTACTGGGTGCAATTTAGTCTTTTAGGTTGTTTGACTGCAAACTGCAGTCCCACCCTTCCCAGGAGGCTGGGGGAGGAGGTTTCTGGAAAAGGATATCACCTTCATTGCATTGCTCGTAATTTTAGGGCAATTTCTCAGTCTTGACAGCTTCTAAAGTCATTTGTAGTTTCTTTCTTGTGGTAAGAACTTGCTTTCTTTGCCCTATTCAGTTGTCCAAATTGGAGGATAAGCAAAGAAATTTCAGAGAAGAAAGGATGAGTTAATTCAACAGAGTTAATGGGGGAAAGGTGAGGCAGGAAGAGGAAAGGCAACAAGGAGGTATCACAGTAAGAAAGTCTGATGAGAAGTGGCCCCTGGAGGAGCAGATTGTGGCCAGTGGGAGTAGAAGAGACCTTTGACACCAGTCAGAAGAGAGCAGAATTGCAAACAGGACTCATCATTCTGCTGTCACAGCTGGGTTTCTCCTGGGTGTGATGTGCATCCATGCTGTGTTTCACAGCTGAACCCTGGCACAATTTGCCATCCAGCAGCGAGCTGGCAGCACTGATGGGCACTCAGGCCAGGTGACAAGGGCTGGTGGAGCATGCAGCTGCCTTTAAAGACTTGAGCCACCTTTACTATATTCAAATAGTGCTTGGGAGCAAAAAAGGGTGAAAGCATATCACAGCAGCAGGCTGGGAACCAAATCCTGGAAACCTGCACATGCCTCAGAGCAGACCCCAACACTTCTTGTCAGCATTAAACATCCATTTTCAGCTTTGCTCTCAATTCTAGACAGTTGTATGTGCTATTCCTTGTTTCTTTGCTTAAGACAGAAAAATGTAGTTGAGGCTTTGCAGGTGCTGCTGCAGCACAGAGCAGGGGTGGCAACTCTTGAGAAGCCAGGGCAGAGGCCGTGGCCTCAGGCATTTCCCCATGGCCTTCCTGAAATGGAGGAATAATACAGACGTGTTAGGGTTTCAGTTTTAACAGCTGCTTCCATGGCACCATCTCTCCTCCTGACTGGAGACAGGATGTGATTCCATGAGGCAGATCACCCCAGCTGCAGCACAGGAGTAGCACAGCTAGAGGGTGTATTCACCAACTCCTAGAGGGACTATAATATAATTTTAAAACACCCGAGTGTTCAAAGCTTTGCCTGATTTTTTCAGCCAGATGTTTTTTCTGCAGACTGACGTGGCACAGCGTCACCTCGTGGCTGGCTGCTAATCCCCAGCTGCAAACACAAAAGGGTCCTGAAGGGACATTAAATGCCATGCCCCATTAGCTTCTTACAGGAACTCAGGTTTATTTTTCTACTCTTGTTAAAATGTGCTTCCCTCAAACAGAAATTTGATCTTTCTGATACCACGTTGTTAGCAGTTTATTTCAACATTTTCTTCCTGGTTGTGTTAAAAATCAAAAATGCCCTCGAATCAAGACATTGTGCTTTAATTTCATAGGGAGCATGGGGCCTTTAGAAAATGTCATCTCCAGCTGTATATCTGGGACTCCCTGAACTTCCCAAAGTCAGATTATTTCAGATTCTGTAGTTATTGTCCAGTTGTAGATCTGGTGGTTGCTGAATTAAAGGTCTCCCTCTCTACCCCATTATATTTCTTGTCTTGTTCAAAGTACCTGAAGCTTCACCAGAGCCCAGAAGCAGTGAGCTGTGCTGTCCCCTCAGTCAGCATCACCCTCCCAGCACAGCTGTGTTTCACCTGGACTTGGAAAACTGCTGACTAGGTATTTTCCACAACTTCCCCCCTTTCACTTGGCAGAGCATGGCTGGCTTTTTCCCTGGAAACTATTTGTGATCTAAAAAGTACGCCCAGGGCATGTGCAGAATAGCTGGGAGCTGCTGTTTTAGTTGGCAGGAGAGGAGAAGCGTGGGAACTCCTTGCATCCCTGCCCACTTCCACTGCCTGCTCCTAATTCCTTGGCTGGCCAGAGGATGTTGCTGCAGACCAAAGCAAAGCTGGAAGTGCTTTGCCTGGGAGTGCTTTGCCTGGGGTGCAGCTGGGGCCTTGAGTCACGTTTGGCACCTACTGGCACCCTAGGTAAGCTGCTTTTTTTAGCCAGCAGTACTGGCTGTGGGTTGGAGAGGCTGATTCCAGCAGTGCTGCCTGTCTCAGCCCCAGTCCTGTGCTGGCAGTGCTGCAGGGTGCTGCCCTGCTGCTGCACCTGCAGTGCTCTCCACTGATAGCCTCCCTCCCTGCCACGGCAGCAGTTGGCATTTCAGCTCAGACTGATCCACTGCTCCAGTTCATGGAGTGTTTGTGAAGAGGGATTTGGGAGGAGCAGAGGCAGGGAAAGAGGCCCTGGCATACCTTTATCAGAATGCTGCACTATTAAACCACACTTCATGGACCAGCACTGGCAGAGACCACACTGCTCCTATGTAGATACTTAACAGGGCTCAGTCACTCCCTGGATGAGTTGCACCTGTACTCAGAGTCCGTATTTCTGCTGCATCTCAGGGCTATATCCATATGGTAAACTGTACCATAGCAGCTGCCTGGCACTGGAGCTTATGGTCTGCCCCACTGAGCTGGCATGATTTTTGGTTAGGACCAGCTTGTAGTTTCTCAAATAATGACTGGGCGTTGCTTAGGGACCAGCACAGGAACCATCTCAAAGAGAGCTTGAATTTGGCCTCTCAGTTTTGGAGACAATGTTAGTAGTCCAGACTGCAGCTGGCTGGTTTCAGTGCAGCTTGGGAGCAGCTCTAGAGCCTCCAAAGGTACATGGCTCCAGATCACCCTGTGGAAGGTTCCAGGAAAGGGTGTTCTCACCCAGCTTATTCATAGCTGCTGGAGCTGACAGAGAAAGTAGGGGGTTAAGGGCTGGCAGGGCCATGAGGAACTTGCACTGGACTGGGGGAAGTGGGAAGCTGCACGCCAGAAGTGCTGGTTTATGCATGCAGCAGAGAGAAATAGCTCCTGCTTCCAGCTCTCAGCTCTGCCTTGCTCCCAGGAGCTGCTGCCCTAAAGGATGGCTGAGCTGCGTGAGCAATGACTGTCAAACCCTTCCACCCCACATGTCATGACATTAAATTAAATGTGGATACATGCTGGGTGAGCTTAATAGCCAAGCCTTTAAACTTGGAGGAGGGGGTGATGTGGGGCTTTGTGGCACAGCAGACGTCAGCACAGGATGCCTGTGCTGAGAATGAGGTGGAAAACAAGGAGACACGCCATGGTCTAGATGAGTAATAAAAAGATGACTGCAAGCTGCAGAAAGGAGAAGCTGACTTCATTTAACTCTTACCAGGACACAGGCCAACCAGGCCAGCAATTACTTATTTAGCTGTAGGATAGGAACCCATAATATTAAAGTGTCCTGACATGCACATCATCCTAACCCACATAAAGGGCTAAGACTAATTATCTGCTGAACTTGCAAGACACCCATTACAGCACTCCCCAGCCGGCTGGGTGGGGTCAGTGTTTATTGTGTCTCACAGCCCAGGGCAGCCTGTGCTCTGCTCCCTGCCTGCTGCCCGGCACACGATGTCACCCAGGCACCCCAGCCAAGGGGCCTTTGCCTGCAGGAACTGGGAGCAGCTCCCAAATTGTGGAGACTGTCGTGGCAGGGAGAAGGCAGAGGCTGGAGGTGCCTCTTGTTTTCACTTGTCACCATTTTTGATTCACGCACTGGATGAAATGTTGGTAGACATCTACATGTGCCAGTTCCAAATTCTCTTGGGCAATAAGTATTGCTGCTGACAGATCCCTTGGAAAAGGTGGGGGCAGGTTTTGCACAGAGAAGCAGATTTTGCTAACCAGAGCTGCACTATCCTGATGACGAATTAATTCTGTCTTCCACCCACACAACACGTACAGCTCGTAATACAGAGGAGTCAGCCACAAGGGAAGAAAAAACAGACAACCTACTGTACAATCCAAACCCCTCCCTGGAATGATCCAAACCCATCCTTTGCACAGAAGTATTGGAATCTGGGTTCTCACTGTGGGAAAAACATCATCAAAGCACTCCTAAAGAACTCTATTTCCCTTGGTGCTGAGGATGAATAATGTTCTTCACCTGGTGGAAGGAAACTCAGGCCTCAACAGTAGTCCAGTGGATGATGGATGAGGAGCTGCATTGTGGGATGCAGTCCCAGGAGAAGTCAGCCACCAGAGCTCAGCATGCTGTTCTCCTGGCACTGCTTCTTGCTCTTGTTGCATGTGGGAGATTGCCAAGAAACAATCATAAATAACCAGGAGAGAACTGTCTTACCTCACTGTCAGCTTTCTCACATACCCTTGTCTCTGCTTGGACCCAGAAGCTCTTTCTAGAGTAGTTCAGCCTCTTCCAGAGAACACAAAGTATTGCCAAAGAGCAGGGACTCTTTTGAAAGGATGTGAAATGCCTTTGACAGGTATTACGCTAAAACTCGATGAAAAACCAGCAACATCTTTTGTATTTTTTTGACAAAAGCAGCTAGGATGGGAAACACAGTGTACAACAGATACCTTTCCTGGCTCCTGAAACAGAAGCTACTAAGGGCTCACCTGGAAGAGATGTCAGCCAGAACCATCAGAGAGGTGTCCTTGCTGCAGCTCTCCTCATCTGCTGAAGCATGGGAGCCAAAGGTGACCACAGCAGCACAAAGCCCTTGCAAGAGGGAGGGAAGAACTGAGCAGTTCACTACCAAGCACCTCTCTGTGTGCCTCTCAGTGTCTGAGACCACAGTGTTTAAACCTCAACTCCTGTCCATCCCCTGTGAGAAGCAGCTGAGGAAGGAATGTAGTGAAAAAATATCCTAGCAAATTAAAATCAGGTGTCATGCAATACCTGCAGACACCCCGGTGGACATTTCTACCCAGGGGATAGCACACACAAGCATGACCAATACCAACAGATTTTAATTGGCACAAAACTGTGTGTGAAGCCATCACTGTTGTACCAGCAGTGCCTGTAGTGGGGCATTGCCCCTCCAAAGCTCCCACACTTTCCAGCACCAGTCCCGTGCATGACCTTGAGGCAGCACAGGTTTGAGCTATTCTGAGAGCATGTACATGATCTTCCTGAGGAATAACTTGATCCCATCCAGCCCTGCAGAAACACAGCAGAGCAACAGGCAACGGCTCTGCATTGCAAGCTTTTCCACACCTCTCCCTGGGTCCTTTGCCTCAGGTTGGTGGTTAGGTTTCCTTCCTTTTGTTCCTTTTTACTTAGGGATTTTTTTCCCCCATAAGTTGCTACAAAACACTAACAACGGGGTACTTGAGAAAAACAAAAAAAAGTGGCCATGCTCAGGGGAGGAGGGCATCTGGCTGCACTTCTCTTACCTGGGAGTTTCTCTCTGAGGGGCAGAGGTACTGTGAGAGTCGGGCAGGTAAAGGACAGGGCTGGGGCAGGTTGAAATGCTCACACCGCCGCTGTTCCCAGGAGTGACTTGGAGGAGGAGAAAGAGCGCAGCTTTGTCCACTGGTCTGTGGGCAGAGCTGGGGCCTCTGTCCTCACCAGAGCATCAAGAGATTCCCTGTTTTTTGATTTGACATTTGAGGTCCTCTGTCCAGCCGACATCTAGGTTAGGGTGAGGGGTAAAAAGGGTCTCAGCAGATACTGGATTCTGTTGCTCACATCTAGACATCTCTTCGATCTGTCAATTTTGTGTTGGCTCTAGGTTTGGTGAGGGATTTCTCCCGTTGCATGCTGGATCCGAGTCATTTGCATGCCAACTCGATGTCCCCTCCTCTTCACCATCTGGGTGCCATATTCCAGGCAGCAGCAGGGTACCACTTGACCAAAGGGGGAATTCTTAACAATTGCGACAGGTAGTTAACGAAAACGACAGGTCATTACAATAACAAATGACAGGTGATTACAATAACAAACAGTTAGAACTCCACCCTGGCAGCAACTAGCCCAACCTGTGAACTCGGCAACCTTTTAAAAGAATGGGCAGCTGTTCTACCCATAGCAAGGTGCTGGCTCTGTCTCTTGGCTTTGGAGGAGCACGGTAGGAGCTGCTGCCTGGGGAAGGGAATTTGCTGCTGCTGCCGCTAGAGCCCAGCCCAGAGCTCGTGAGATCAGCCACTGAAGTGGGACCTTATTAACCCTCGCCTCACTAAAGCAGGGACCCATCCCCATCTGCTCGGGTGCCCGGGATCCTGAGCTCGCCTCTCCCTGCCCTGCTGGGAGCCAGGCCACTGCTGTCCCACCCCTGCTGTCTCTTTGGCACTGCTCTGAGCTTTCACTGCACTGTAGCCCTGCACCCCCTGCCTGCTGAGACATCCTGCTGGCCCAGCTTGCTGCTTCCCAGAGTCCTGCTGGGGCAGCGGGATTGGCCACCCCAGGGGTTTGTGAGGCAAAGCCTCTCCTCTGTCCCTTCTCCTCTGGGCCCAGCCGCCATTGCTGTGTGCTGCCCGTGCCACAGCGCCCCCTGCAGATGGGGCAGGGGGAGTCACCGCACCTGCCCTGCCTGCCAGGAGCCAGCAGCGCCCCTGCTGGCCGTGCCTGGAACTGCACCGAGGGGAAAGCACCGCGGCTGAGGCGGCCAGGCCTGGGTTTGTGTCTGTGTGGTGTTAGTGCCAGAGCTGGTGTGGTTTGTTTGCTTTGTCATACACACCAGTAAAGAACTGTTATTCCTATTCTCATATCTTTGCCTGAGAGCCCCTTAATTTCAAAATTATAGTGGTTCAGAGAGAAGGGGTTTACATTTTCCTTTCCAAGGGATGCTCCTGCCTTCCTTAGCAGACACCTGTCACTCAAACAAAGACACTTCCCTTTTTTATTGTACAGAAAATATTTTATTCTTTTCCACACTGATGGAACAGCTTTTCATTTCTGTTTTCTGGAAGGCCCTGATTTGGTGCAACCTGTTCAACTTGTTAGTTTTGTTGTGGGATTCGGGGTAGTTTGTATGAAGGAGGCCCACCAGCTTCAGGATTGCACCTCAGAACCGACAATGACAAGCTAAGATGCAAAGCCATGTCCCAGTCCCTTTCCCTGTGAGAATACAGTGAAAAGGTAGAAAAAGATCATAGATATATTATTCTCAGTAGTACCTGGCTGCAGAGGGTTCATTTTATTACTGGCCCAGCTGGGGATGAACAGTCCCATCCCTGCCCCCATTTTAAATACCATTAGGTTTGGCTTTGGTTGCTCCCCAGGTATCCCATTAAAAGCCTGGGGATTCCAGCATAGGGAAAATGGATATTTCAGCCCAGATGGATAATTTTTCCAGGAAACATCTTTGTCAGGTGAAAATTGGGTTGATGTGGCTGTGACTTCCTCCCTTAGCAGGTATTTTCATACTGTTACCTGCAGCTGGTGGCACAGTGGCATTCATGGAAAACTGTGAGGTTTAACATTCAGGGATTTTGATTCTGTAGCCAGCAGCCACCCAGCTGTCCTGAGTGCTGAAACAGAACCAGCAGAACAGGGCTAGGAAAGGAGAGTCTCTTGTACCTGTATTGTCTCCACAGAGGTTTAAACCAAACCAGGGAGTTTAAACCAGGACATGTTGCCCACTGTAGACAGAGATAGGTTTCATAGAAAGAAATAATGGTTTGGGTTGAAAGGGAGCTTTGAAGATTACCTAGTTTCAACCCTCCCCATCATGGGCAAGGACATCTTTAACTAGACCAGATTGCTGAAAGCTCCATTCAGCCTGGCCTTGCCCCCAGGGATGGGGCATCCACAGCTTTTCTGGGCCACCTGTTCCAGTGCCTCACAACGCTCACAGTAAAAATTTCTTCCTAAGATCTAATCTAAATTTGCCCTTTCAGTATAAAACCATCATCCCTTGTCCTGTCACTACAGGTCTTGTAAGCAGCCCCTCTCCATGTTTCTCATAGACCTCCTTTAAGTAGTGAAAGGTTGCAATAAGGTTTCCCTAGAGCCTTCTCTCCTCCAGGCTGACCAACCCCAACTACCTCAGCCTGTCCTCACAGGAGAGGTGCTCCATTTCTCTGATCATCTTCATGGTCCCCTCTGGACTCACTCCAACAGGTCCATGTCCTTCCTGTGCTGAGAACACCAGACCTGGATACAGCGCTGCAGGTGGGGTCTCACATGAGCAGAGTAGAGGTGGAGAATCACCCTCCTTGAATTCAAATTATTTTAACTGTCTTGTCTTCTATCCTAGGCTTTGTCAACCAGAAGCCCACCAAGCCCAGAGAACAACAACCTTGACCAGCAGTGAGTATCCCCTGCTTTCATGGTATCTTCAGCATGGGGAAAGCACATGGAAGCAAGGGGCCTTTATGCTTTTTCTGCATTTGTAACACTGTACAGAAGAGCTGGGAATGGTGTGAAGTGGTTTATAGCCCTAAATATTCCACCCTTTTGCTTATTTGCAAATTAAAAAAAAAAATCAGGTGCTGCTTGAAAAGATTCAGGCTCTAGCTCAAGTGTAGTATAGAGGTTGTGAGCAGTCAGAATTTTGGGTGTCCACATGTCAGAGAGGCACGTTGGAGTAGTTAGTGCAAAGCTGTGGAGAATTGCTCCAACAAAGAGCTCAGGCCCTGATTCACCTTTGGGCTCTGCAGCGTGTGGAAAAGGAGAATAATGTCTCTTTGCTCCCCAGGAGTCTTAAGAGAAAGCCCATCAGGTGCTCCCATGCTACACCCGTTAGAGACAAGAGTGTCCCTCAGGGACAGGGGAATGGTGGGGACCTGCTGCTCTGGGTGCCAAACAAAAGAAATCAGAAATTTTCCACAAGCAAAAGCTGTCCAGCAGAGTGAGCCTCTGAGTCTGCCTGCACCAGAAATGGGAACAGTTTAACACATGCTAAAAAAACAGGTGAAATGAACAGGCTTGGAAAACTATCTTAAAATATCACCTCCTTACATTGAAGAGCCACTCTCTTCAGCATTAAGCTCTGACTCTGATCCAGCCCCTCTGCTCCTGCAGCACTCAGAGCAGACTAATCTGCAGATGCTGGTGTGTGACCTACTAACGTCCAGCAGTGCTGCTGGCTGTGTCAGCAGAGCCCAGGCACTGCTGCTGCTCCCCCTCCCACTGCTGCTCTCCCTCCCAGCTGGCAGGGAGCTCACCTGGCAAGGCTTGTACAGGTGCTCTTGCAGGGACTTGAACCTCTCCTGTGCTTCCCAGCATCCTCAGTGGGCTTTGGGTGGTGATGGCAACTGAGCCTTCTCCTCCTGGGGTGCACAGCCAGCCCTGCCAGGCCCCTGTGCAGCTCCCCAGGCACCCACTGGCCCCTCACACCCTGCCAGGGCTTTCCTTCTCCCACCCTCTTTGATGTACAAGGGGAAGGTTTGAGACAGCAGAAAATGCTTTCTGATCTGGGATGACAGAGCAGGAGATTATTTTCATTTAGATAACATTTACTTTATATCCAGAGTCCCATAGCACAGCTCATGTGTGAAGTGCCTGTACTGCCTGAGATAAGCAGAATTGCAATTTCTGCTGGCAAGAACTATGCAAACATTTTTTTGGAAACGGCCCAGCACCCAACAAATTTTTGAAGACATCAAATCAATTAAAATCAAATCAAACCACAGAAAGAGAGGTTAATGTGCATGTGTAGGTGTCTCATCCTTCACATTTCTGTGGCTGGACTCATTCTAGATAAACACTTTACAAACAGCAAAAGTCAGCCTTGTCTTGATAGAGTTGCTGACTGAAGAAATTCCTATAAAGCCAATTAAAGGAGAAGCACATGCTGAGGAAGGAAAGAAGAACTAGATAGGCAATCACGTGAGAGAGAGGTGGGTGTGCACTCCTGTCCTAGAACATGCCCCTGTGTTCAGACACCACATCAGCATCTGAACCAGCCCCTGCTGAGTACTTTGGATGTGCTCCTGGTTGGGCTGTGTTACCTCTCATCCTCACTCCCCCAAAATCTTTTGGGAGCTGCTCTCCAGTGTCTGGTAGTTCAGGGCTGGATGACACAGCCCAGGCACACAGGAATGATTTTATAATTGCTGCCAAGGCTCGTGGCACTGGCACAGTTACCAGGGCGTTGTTCTGACCCATTTTTCAGCTGCTAGGCCTTGCAGAAGGCATTTTAATGATTAACCCTGGACTTGCCCATCCTCAGCAAAATGATAAAAAACACTGGCCTAGATTCACCCCAACCTAGTTTTCAGCCACTTAGCTCAGGTTTGTGCCTGGGAGTTTGTCACCCTAGTCACCCATCAGGGCCATTGTCACAGGAGCCTGCAGGCAGCTCTCCCCCACACCAGGTACCTGCCTGACACCACGGATACAGCACTGACAGCCATCCCCACGGCTGGGATCTTGCTCAAAGGTGGTTTTGCTCACTGTTGGTCTAATTTTGTCCTTTGCATTTCCTTCTCCACATTACATAGTTCATTGTCTTTACACTTAACAAAAAACCCCACTCATAACTCCTGCTTCCCTTAAGAAACTTTAAACACCGAGAAGCCTGTAGCTGAAATCGAACACATTTCTTGCTTTCCTCTTTCCTAAATTGCTTTGCTCCAGCCTCTTAAATCACTTTTATTGCTGCTTTCTACACTCCCTCCAAGCTGTTAAGAACATTTTAGCAGTGAGGCGCCCAGAAGCCTGCCCAGTAATCCTGATGGAGCTGCACTAGCCTTCTTTTTCCTTGCTGTCCTATCACACTGCACATTCCCCTCATTTGCTTTTCAGCTGACTCCTTCTCTCTCAGCTTTGCTCCTTCACAGATTTCTCTCCTTCCCCAGAACATCTGGGATTTGAAAATCTTTCCACTCAGAGTACTGACCAGTTATTTTCCTGGCTGGAAGGTCTAACAGCCCTCAGGTGGACTCTGTGTGTGAAGCCAGGCTCTGCGGCCCTGGCATGTAGTGACAAGAGGAGCAAGGTGGCTCCTCTGCTGCTGGAGCAGCTGGAGGAGCACTGGAATAGGCCTGTGGGCCACCAGCTTTTGTGCTGTGCACATCATGAGCTTGGGATTTCTCTTCCTCAGCTGCTCACTGAATTCTAGGATCAGCAGAAATAGCTGCACCAATGTGCCTTTGAGATGGAGGTTTAGGTTGGGATGGCCTCAGGAGATCTCCAGTCCAATCTCCTAGCTCTGGCTCCAAGCTGGATCAGCTGTGAAGTCAGAGCAGAATGCTCCAGGCTTTGTCCCATCAGGTGTTGAAAGCCTCCAAAGATGGAACCTGTGCAACCACACAGCCTATTCCTCTGCTTACTGTCCTCAGGGTACAGAAGTTCCTCCTTTTATCCAGATTAAAGCTCTCATTTTTTATTTTATTTCAGTTTTCCTGTATTAAATGATACAGAACTTTGCCACAAATAGCAATAGTATGAGCAGCAGCTTGCTTTTCCTTTGCTTTTGAAAGAAATGCAGCCCTCTCTTTTTCTCTCATTTCTGGGGTATGCATAGGAAGTGGAGTCTGTTTTTGCTTTTTCCAAAGCACATCTGTGTCTCAATGAGTTTTACCTGGAGATTTTCTCCATGCAAACCAAAGCATCGAGAATAATTAACAGTGGGAAATTATGTAACTGCTAAGAGAAACAATGGCTCTTCTGTGGGCCTGCAAGCAAGCTGCCAGGAGCTCTGCCTCTTATTCATCACGTAACATAAAATTAGTTAGAGGATTGTCACAATGCAGAGTTTAAATCAGTAAATTGTGTGTTTTAACTCAGATTTCTGCACTTCTTTTTCCATTATTGCTTTGTAAATGCTGCTGTATGGTTTGAGCTCTTGGACCTGTAGCTTTCTTCTCAGGTCTTACCTAGTGCAGTGGAAATCAGATACCCTGCAGCCCTCAGCAGGAGAATGAATAAATGGAATAAGCAGAAGAGTCCAGTTGCTAAATCCTGCTTGCTGCTAGTAGAACTTGCCATCAAGGGCATAGTGCAGTGTAAGTAACTGTAGAATACCTACACTACCCAGTGTCACCAGCTGGCCATCAGGTGACTCCAGGAAAAACACCAGGCTATTTCTGACACACGGGAGGCATGGCAAACACAGCGTGGTCAGAGCAGCTGGGCTGGGCAGGAGCCCGAGGATGCTGCCTGGCCCAAGGAGAGCAGTGTGAAAGCACCTCCTCTGTAGGACAAAGTGTCCTTAGAAAAGCATTTCAGGGTTCTTCTCTTCAATTCTGACTCTACATTTACATACCTGCTTTGGGGCAGTTTCTGTGATTTTGTTTAGTAAACAGGTCCTCAGTTTTTTTAATTAAAGGATGCTAATGGATTAATTTTATTCATCCCAGCTGCAAGAGCAATGGTTGGGATAGGTCTCATCCTTAGAGGAGTTCAATAGATAACAAGTCTGGGACAGATCTGGAGCCATGCTAGTGGATATGAAAATCTCTCCTCTTTGGCAAGGAACTAACTGACACACAAAACCAAAACATTTCTTTCTTGTTTACTTGTTCTTCACTAGTGGATGGTGACAAAGTCTTAGTTGACATGGCATGGCAGAGCACTTTACAGTTTGGATTTACCAGCTCAATTCCCCACTTATCTCTGCCCCTCACCATGACCTCCATTCCAAGGAGCCATGTGTTCCAAGCCTGACAGCCTGGCTTGCTCACCTCCCAGAGCTCTACAAGGCCAAGGAGAAGCACTCCTTGTCAGCTGCTGGCTCCTCTCGAGTCCTGGAGGGCAAGACCAAGTAGGCTTAATTGGTAGCATGAGGTACAGTGGTCAAAGCCTGCAGAAGACTTGTCACTGTTCTCCCTTACGCAGGTAGGGACAGATTTCTCCTGTACCCCACCTCTGATAACACCAATAAAACCCATACCAGTTCCCTTTGAGTCATTCATCAGCTCCCACTCATGGGAGGGCTGTGCTGATGTGGAAACAAAAGCTGTAAGAGCAGTTTGAGGGAGCTGCATTCATATTTTGGTTGAAACTCAGATTCCTTATGAATGCGAACAAAATAATCTCTTTTTGCATAAAACCTTAAAAGTAGCATAAAGATTACACTGTCCTTTAGCTGGGCCTGGAGCCTAACTTGAAAGGTTCTGGGAGCTTGATCCTGGAGCACTGTAAGGGTTGTGCTGTAATGAACTCCCAGACTGAACTGGTGCCAAATGATAGCAAATGTCAGCAGGCAATGTGCCAGTGGGGTATGGGAACCAGACCTGACAGAGTATCTGTGTCTCAGCCAGCCACATGCAGCTCAATCTTTCCATTCACAAAAAAAAGAAATGAAGCAAGGATCTTGTATCTTCAGAGCCTGATTGTCTCTCACAACACCACTAACTCGCTCCCTTCCATGCTAGGTGCCCAGAAGGCAGCAAGAAGCCATTGGGGCAGCCCACGATTCTGTATGATTACTCGGAGGAGGAGCTGATGGCCAGCATCGAGAGGGAGTACTGCCGCTGAGCCCCCCACGGAACGGCAGGCACAGCCTGGGGCCAGGCTGAGCAGAGCTCCTGTGACACCACAGCTGCACGGGAGAGGGGGCTCTGGAGGGGACTGGAGCATCAGGGGCTGCTTGGGAAGCACTGAGGAGAACGTTCCCCTGATCAGCTCCCAGGGAGAGCAGGAAGATCCTTACCAGCTGCTGATTGGTGCCACTGCAAGAGGGACCAATCCATCTTAAGAATCGATATTTAGAAGCTCATTTCTAAATGCTATTTTTAAATGAACATGTACTAGAATTAATGTCATACTAGAGGTGTTGAAATGTGGTGCTTTGAAGGAATCTTTGAACCTAGTAAAAATTTGCAGCAATATCATCTGATCCAGAACTTAAGGGGATGTTGAATGAAATTCATGTTTCTGCCACTTAAAATGTGCCAAATTGCACTTGTGCAAGCCTCAGGTTCAGGTCTGAGTTTGGTACTGTCTCTTTCAATCTGGTCCCCAGTATGGGAGATAAGAGGAGAAGGGGATTGAGCCCACCATCTAGTGCATAGGCAGTGTAATCCCAGAGTTCAAATCCCACCACACTGCCAAATTAGGCTCCTGGGAGCCATCAGGGAACACAGGATTTGTATGAGCCCTTTGGGGCAGGGTCCCGGCATGAGTCCTACCTGGGCATGAATCCATTCCAGTGATGGGAGTGAAAGCAGGAGGCACATCCCACACATCCCCATTTCAGTCATCCTCCTCAAGGGGTACTTGCATGCTCTTGCAGAGCAGCTGTTTGGGATCAGTTTTCAGAATTGCTACTCCTAGCCTTTCCCTAATATTTCTTGTCCTACAAGAAAAATCACTGCATTTTACCATTAGCTGACTGCAAAGTAAACCAGAATGTTCTCTCTCCTAAGGAAATAGTATTTTCAATGCTCCCAGACAGGGAAGCCTGGTATTTTGGGTTTCTGCTTTTATTATATCTGCATGTTAACATATTATGAGTATCTGCTTATTATCAGAAGTAGAAAATTACTTTATTTCTATCTTCTGCTGAAGCATAAAAGGCATCAGATGAAATTTTCACTACGTGTAAATGCCAGAAAAAAGTGCAGGACACCTCTTAAGATGCTGTATTTTAAGTACTTTATGATTTCTGAGACCTGTGAAACACAAATAAATGCATCTATACTCTGAAGCCCTCAGTGAAGGCATCAAATGTTCTGAAAAAGGCTCTCTGAAAAATCATGCTCTGGTACCTGCAGAGACTAAGCAGGATGCATCCCTGCAGGATGGCAGTGGGATTCCTGCAGGATGCATCCCTGCAGGATGGCCGGTGGGATTCCTGCAGGATGCATCCCTGCAGGATGGCAGGTGGGATGCCTTGAGGGGGGCGCTAGATCACAGCCCTGGCACACAGTCTCACACCCCAGCTGTGTTCCCTGCAGCTGCCTTCAGCAAGGCTGGACACTGGGAGCTGAGGAGCCCCCAGGCAGCCCAGGGTGGGCAGTGGGAGGGAGCCAAGCTCCCACAAAGCTGTGCATGCTTGGAGGCAGCAGCTCCCAGCACACCAGCTGGGGCATGTCGACAGGACCAGGGATAATAAGGGTTTAAACTGGAAGAGTCTAAATTTGGGTTGAACATAAGGAAGAAATTGTTCACTGTGGGGGTGTTGAGGCACTGGAACAGGTTGTGAGTGCCCCATCCCTGGAAGTGGTCAAAGCCAGGGTGGATGGTGCTCTGAGCAGCCTCGTCTAGTGGAAGATGTCCCTGCCCATGGCAGGGGGATGGGACTGGATGGTCTTTAAGGACACTTCCAACCCAGGCTGTTTTATGATTCTGTGATATCTTGGTGGCCCAGAAATAGCTGGAATAGAGAGCAGATGTGCCTGCATTGTTGGGAGAAGTTGGGTGGGTCCTCTGGAGCAATGGCTCTCTAACCCTCCTGGAAAAAATCCAATTTTGAACAATAGCAGTTCTTTCACAGGAACAGTCATTTTTAGACCTATTAATGTCACTGATCTGTGGCAGGATACAGTTTGTCTGCAGTTTATGGAGAGCCCACTCACCAGATCTCCCAGAGCTTGTGTTAGTTTTCAGCAGCTCTCAAAGACCTGCTGGGAGGAACAGAATCTGCCTGTGGAGAGCAGAAAAAACACGGTGACCCCAGCACCACAGGGGACCACAGTACTCGCTATTATTTTGTAATCACAACAGTAGTTTAGATTTTCTTTGAATTTGGATTTCATTCTTTCAACTAAGACCTTCCTTCTGTCAAGGTCCCCAGAGTCTCTGGCACATGTGGGGAGATATTTCACTGAGCTCAGTCACAGCTCCCCCCGCTTTGTGAGCACAGGGCCAGTGGATTGCTGCCTTTTTGGATGGCCTCCAATGACACAGCAAACAGAGGGAAGCCACGCTACTGTCAGACCATGCTGTGACAGGAGCAGGCAGGGACCAGGGCTCTGCCTCCCCCAGGTCACCCTGCATGTCCCCTGCCTGCCCTTACAGAGCTGCTCTCTGGGGCTGCATTTGGTGACTGGCCCAGGTAACAGCTCTACAACCCATTTCAGACTCTCCTACAGGAAAGCCCAAGTATTCACAATTACAGAAATTGACTAATTAAAAATAACACCTAAGCAGAACATATTGTTAAGCTGCAAAAAAAAAAAAAAAAATCTCTATTGAACACAGCAAAGCACTGGGCTGCTTTATAAAATGAGCTTCTAAAATAAGCAAGAGACAAGCACATTTCTGTAGCTGGAACAAAGGTGCAGTGGATTTCACAGACAACCTTTTCAGCATCACCAACAGAAAAGGAGGAGCTGCAGAAACACAGGAAGGTCCAGGAAGGAGTGATGCAGCTGGGACAGTCACTGCACCAGGGAAAAGGTGCAAGAAAGAACTTTGGGGATACAAGGAGGGACCTCAAACTGCGGTATGGTCTTGCAGGCTTTTTCTGTGCCATAAAATGATGTGAGCTCAGACCACAGAGCCAGCCAGCGCAGACAGCCCACAGCCATCTGTCTTCTCACACCATGCAGAACAGGGTGGTGGTACCCAAGCAGGTTCCCAGTCTGCCCAAGAACTGATGGGGAGTGATCTCCTCCCTCTGGATCAAACCTGCACACAGCTCCACACCCAAAAGGGACAGTGGCAGTGGGGCTGGTGCCTGGGAAGCCACAACTACAGTTTAATTACCTGGTGTCAGTGTAACTCTGCTTTTGGTCCATCTTTTGCTCACAGAAAATAGGACACCAGATCATTTGTAGGTGAATAACAGTATGAAAACAGTAGCTGTGCCCACAACAGATTTCAAGAGAAACTTCTTGAAATAATGGGTTTTTCAGAAAAAGGACAATTACACTATAGAGATCACTGCCACATCTCAGGGATGTTGTCATCTTGTTGCAGGGGTTCCATACTGTTGTCTCCTTATCACAAAGTTTCCTATCTTCTTGGTGTTTCTTGGGGGCAGCTCCTCAGAGCACTGACTCCGACTCCGACTCCTACTCCTTCTCCTTCTCCTTCTTCTCACATTAGCCAAGTGACTCCAGTTCCCTTCTCCATCACCCAGCCCACTCTTTTATAGCACACTTCTTCTCATTGGTTACAGCTGTGGCCTGGTAAAGTCAGGCCTGTTCCTAATCTTCGATAATTGCCCAGCTGCAACTCCTTAGGGGTAAGATTCCTTTGTATACTATCTTTATTTTCTTATATCCTATCCCCCTACAAATGCTGATATCCATCCAGCTGAATTATTGAAAAGTTTGTTTTCTTTTCATGGTATTTCTCTATAACCACCATCAAATCACAACTGCTTGAAGGACAAGAAATTATTCAGCTTGCCAGTACTTCCTACCCCTAAAACAGTTTGCTGGAATTAAGCAGGGCTCTGGAGAGTCTCTTACTCATCATTTTGGAAACTACCCTCCTGTTTAATACCCACAGCATAAGACAGGATAGCTGACAAGTGCTTTTGAGCTGACAGTATTAATCTCCATTAATAAACCAGCAAAAGGCTATTATTTTTAACCAAATCACTACATTATTCATCTAACAAAGACAAATGCTACATGCTGCATTTTGCACTAGTCCAAAAGGAGCAAGAGAGCCTTGCTGAGACAGAGCCTCTGCCCCAGCAAGGGGGGCACAGGGGCCCCCAGGCCTGCAGCTGTGCCACAGGAACCTCATGGAGCTGCCCACCACATTGGCCAGCTGCCTGGCACGGACCACATCCACAGCAGGGCTCCCCCTCACCTCACCCTGGACACAGGACATGGCAATTATTTGCACAGGGTGAAGTGGATTTATCTGGGCAGTGATAACCAACAGAGAAGAAGTCACTCTGAACTCAAGAGATGCTACAAGAGAAACAATTAAACCTAAGGTGTTCTTCCCATCTGGGACAAACTCTCCCAGGAAAGGGTATGCTCCAGTTTCCTCAAGTTTTCTGCATGTTTTAAGATGTGTCCATTGCCTTCTGCACACATCAGCACTTAAGTCAGCAATTTCCTTCTACACCTGAGGGCTGAAGCAGAAGAGGAGGAAGGCTGCATTTGACAGAGGATCCCAGGACAGCCTGGACTGTGAGATGTGGCTGAGGCTTTGCAGCTTCCCCCTGGACCATCTCACCATTTCCTCAGCCTGCAGGTTGCTGGGTTTTGAGTCATGATTTACTCTTGCTGCAGACATGGAAGCAATTTGCCTTCTCCCAGCCAGAGCCTGCCTGCCTCAAGCTGCTTTGCTGGATGTGAATGGAAGGTAAACAGGCAGATGGGCTCACAGGTTAAACTTCAAAATCAGCCTGAAGGTTTATCCCTGCAGATGAACTCAAGCCAGAGGCAACCCTGGGGCAGGACTCTGCTCATGAGATGACAGATGAAGGATGCTGGGTACAGCTTTCACAGCTGGAAAGGGAAAATTGGCCAGAGCTGTGGCCTCAGCTGGAGGAGCACACCAAGCATGCAGCATGGGCCACCTCGGCCACCTCTGCAGCATCAGAGTGGATTCACTCTCCCAGTGCCCAGGCTTCAAGAGGATCAGTGCTCATGGGTTTTCAAGACAGCTCAGGCTGCTGCTCAGCCCAGGGCTTGGCTGTACAACCACACAGGGTGGTGTGTGTAACAAGCAGTGCCACTGTCTGCAAGATGAAGCATAAGCCAATAGACATGTTTGAGCACAAATCCACTGTCCTTCAGAAAATGATTCCTTTTCATGGATTTAGAATGGCTTCAAGACAGAAAGACTTGCCCCAAACAATGCTTGTGTCAGCACAGGGGTAGTTGGGAAGGCTTTCTTGTATGTAGGCTGTTTTCTCTCACTGGATGAAGCTGTTCCAGACTCCAGCCCCATTAGGATGTGGACTGAGTGCACCTCCTGGCTACATGGGACAGCTCAGACCACAGCTTGGGTCTAAGGAAAAGCAGGAAGGTGAGCACAGACTGAAATCCATTGCCATGTTTCACATAAACAAAGCCAGGGAAACAAATTAAAAATCAGAAAAAAACCCCTAAAACAAGTATTCTTAGGGATATAATTGGATGCTCAGAAAAATCTTCCTTGAAAAATAGTAGGGACAGGTAAGACATCTTCCCCTGGGAGACAAAGGCATTGTGACAAACTGCAGAGCCATGGGGCTGAAGTTTGTGCTGTTCTGCCAGAGCATTAAACCTGCACCTAAGCTTTCCCTTCCAGTTGTTCTTCTGAGGGGAAAGCAGAACCATCCATGAGATCTCTTTTCACCTTCCTCACACATGCAAGAACAATGTGCCTTTCTGTGGACAAAGCCTTGAGTCACTGCTCCCAGGTCACTCCCTGAGGGCTGAGCAGCTGAGGGCTGCACAGACTGAGCAGAGAAAGGCTGTGACAAAAAGCTGGAATCATTACACCTTCTCCCTTTCTGCTGGAAGTAAACATTTCTGCAGTTCAGGAACTGGTCAGAGGGAAACAGCATAAAAATGTAGGTAGTTGCTGCTGTTGTCACCATCACTGGTCACCTCTTTTCCAGCTGAGACTGGGAGGTAACACCCAGCCTGCCATGTCCCCACCAGAGCAGGAAGAATTGGGGCTAGCACAGCCACTTTCAGGGCTAAATTCTTGTCTCTGCCTTATTTCCAGCACTCACTCCATGCACAGCTTGTGACATGAACAGAGCGACACCCAGCACATCCCTTCCAGATGCTGGAGGCCAGGCTGGGAGTGGTGTGGAGCTGGGAACTCTTGTCCCCAGAGAGCAGAGAGAAGCCCCAAGGCCTGCTGAGGGTGTGCACCTTCTACCAAAACCACCAGATGAGTGGTGTAAAATCATAAACAAGTGAGCATTGGTCAATTTACAACAGGATCAAAAAAATCCAGCCTTTACAGGGAAGTGAATTAGCAAGCCCCAAAGTCTGCCACTGGCCTAGACACACAACCTAAACCTGAAGGATTGACGTAGTTCTGGAATGGACGCCTATGAAACCTGAAAATCCAGGATTTTTTTTATGACTTAAAACCAGTCACATTACATACATTTTATTTAATAAAAGTTAAAAACACGTACAAAAATGCAGTTCCATTTCCGTAAAATATAGGCTCAAAATAAAAAGCCAGAACAGTAGAGTTCAGGCAGTAAAGTGCAAAGACAGCAGCTATGCCAGTCATGCTTAATCCATAAATAACCCTTAGACAGCAGCAGGAAGGAACAGGCAGAGCAGACACAGGCACAGCTATTCACGCACATCCACAGGAACGATCCACACATCCCAGAGCGGGCTGCCAGGAACTGCAGGCCAGCCTCACCCAAACAAGGAGGGAGCAGCTGCTTTTCCACATCGTGACACACATACATGACACACTTTTGAAAAGTCTGTATTCTCCAAGTCCACTGTTTCCCCCCCGCCCCATAATGCAAAAAACATGACAATTTATATAATTATGACAAGAGTTTCCAAATTGTTTTCTCAGGTGAGCACCATAAATAATCAGTCTGTAAAAAAATGAAGTGCTAAACTGGCTACTAAACTGAGACAGGACATGCTTCCCCTGGTTAAAAGCATGCAAAAACAGCATCCAAAAGCCAGACTTCTTCTTCTAAGAGATTTCTGAGGGAAAAAAAAAAAGTAAGAGCAGCAACATCTTTGTTCACCACAGAAACTTGGAAAACTAGGTAGCAACAGAGAACAGCAACACCACGAGGATCCACTTCACCAGGCAAAGAGGTTCCAGCTGAGCCCTTTGGAGAGTCCAAAGCAAGGTCCACACACACCCACTGGCACGTACACTGGGATTACAGCACATGTCAGTGAACAGGGTGTGGGCCTTTACAAGGTCAGGCACAAAAACTTAGTACACTTAGCACAATACTCCAATTTAGTGCAGTTTGAAAACTTACCACTGTTAATTATAACTATAGATTTTAGTGTAAAAAATAATGACATAATCTGCTTTAACTGAAACAGGTCTCTGCCAAGTCAGCACTTCCATAGATGAGATCCATGCTTTGCCCACCCGGGGAAGCAAGACCAGGATTTCAGAACAAAGCAGTAAAAGAGGGAATGCATTCCTAGTTATGGACAGTTGATGCATATAGGAAGAACAATCCTCCTCGGTGCTCAACTAAGCTTCAGTGCAGGAGTGGCTGAAGGGAGAAGAGTCCAGAAGGAATAAGCACTCCAGAAATATTTCATTCAGGGGGGGAAGTTGTCTCCCAGCAAAACAGCTGGTGCTTTGCTGTACTGTCAGCTCTGCTACAGTACAGACACACTCCTCCTGCCCTTGGGAATGGAGCAGTCTGACTGTGCTACGGGCAGTTTGTTACTCACACCATGCTATTACAACACAGCACTCCTGCAGCCATTGGTTCCATTTCTTAACTATCATTACACTTTGTGTAAAAGAAAATCCATTCAACAGGGAGAGTGTATTGTTTAATAGAAAAGGGTGATTTTATACAAAGTACTGTGGAGAAGTATAAGGCCACATGAAGAGCATCATCAAGTTGACATGGTGGCTATTTCTTAACTCAAGACACATTAGTATTTCCTCTGGTGCATTGATACAGGTAAAAGAAAGCCTTGAACTATAAGGTGCACAAGCATCCACAATACAAAAAAACCCTTTAATTTTTTTATTTCTCCTCTACTCAAAAAAATATAAAGAGAGACCCACTAATTTTTTATGGGCTATCTTGCCATTTTTGCATTTTTCAGTTTATTTTGATATGTTGGTTTAGTAGGACCAAAAATAAAGCATAATTTTTAGTGTCAACATTTCTAAACAGTGTTTGTGCTTCTGCCTCCATGAGAGCAGTGTGGCTCCTCCAAACTTTGCTTCAGTGGAATGTGGACTAGAGAATGCTTCTACCAAAAAGCCACATCGGCTTCTACTTGCAAAGGGTATGAATTCCTAAAATGTTGAGGATTTCAGCACTTGTATTCTCAAATAAGGTCATTCTGGTTTGGTTTGTTTTAAAAATTACTGACTCACTTTGATTTTCAATCTACCTGCACAAGGAGGGTGTAAGAGCACTAGCCCATGGCAGGATCAGGATTTGCAAGTGTGAAAACCAACCAGTATGTTATCAAATGGTAAGTGTTTATAAGACACCCTGAATGCAATAGTTTGGGTTTACTGAAAAGGAGTTTCCAAAACTCTGGGTCTCATCTAGCGCAGCCCTACTAATGGCAAGTAATTTGCCTGCATAACAAGACCAAAATGAACAAATACAAAATATATTTGGTATAGAAAATAGTACTATAAAAATTAAAAACCACCCTGTTTTACTGTCCATCAAAATATTAACAGCAAGCATTACAACTTTTTTTAACCTATTGCCAAAATAATTTCCAAGGAGTTCTACTTTCCTGAAGTGCTGGTGATTGCAATTGCCCAAGTACTGAAAAAAAATCCAACAGGGAAGGGATGAGGAAATATGATAGATTTCTCACATAGCACTATCAACAGAGGACCTAAACTGCAGGAAACTAAAGTACACACAAACACGAGGAAAATAAAAGCCATTGCCCATTCTGCTGTTGCCATCAGAGCTCTTCCTGATCCTCAGACAGTGTGCAGAATGTGCCTCTTCACTCTAGCCCTGGCAGGCAGGTGATGGCACGGGGATGAGCATACTCAGCGCACTGCTGCTGCTGCTCTTGGGTTTCTCTGCCGTGGCAATCCTGCTGAGTTTGCCAAGCTCTGTCTGCCAGCTGGGGGTCTTCTTGGTGGCCATGTGGCGGCGGGTGTGCTTGGTCAGGTGGTCGCTGCGCATGAAGCGGCGCTCGCACACCGGGCACGAGAACTTCTTCTCGCCCGTGTGCGTCCGGCGGTGCCGCGACAGTTCATCCGAGCGGGCAAACTTCTTGTCACAGCCCTCCCAGTTGCAGCTGAAAGGTTTTTCCCCTGCAGGACATAAAGGAAGGGTTTGTTACTTTTGAGAAGCTGTGTTGCAGTCTTATCAAAGGGTTAACTTAAAATCTGCCTTGCAGAAACCAGTGAGTTCACAGAACTGCTTATCTGTGTAGTCAATGTAAGATTAAGCTAAAGTTCTGTTCCAGAGAAAAATAATAGCTATCATTTCTACTTATTTCCTTGTATCTCTCTTTAGTGTTCTTTAATCAAGTCTGGTTTTTCAGTTGTCAAAAATCCCAGTTTAAAGAAATAAAGCATTCATAAAGCTGCCTTATCTGCTGACTGAACTAGAAGCAAGCCCCTGCCCCCATCCCCATGCATCCATATCTCTCTTGCTGCAGCATGTCATCCACAAATACTGTGGGCAAACAGGAAGCCTGGAATGGAGCCTCAGGGTCCTGCTGCTCCAGTGATCCAGTCCTGCACACAAACACACCAGCAAGCACTCCCAAGCAAAGCCTGTCCTACCAGCCCCCAGAGACCAGGAATGGAAGCAAGGCTGCCCACATCAGCTGCTGCTCATCCTGGGCCACTGCTGAACATCCCACCTGTCCTGAACAACCACAACTGCAACTACTGCCTGCAACTCCCACAGGGCTCCAGATAAACATGCACCACGTGGCCCAAGATTTTGGGGACACTTTGGAGCAGAAGAGAAGGGGCTCAAACAGGAAGGAAGCCCCACAGGAGTGTTCTCACTCCAGGTATTGAGAGTAAAGTCTATGTCTTCTGGATGTGCTATGATCTAGCTAGTCAGTGTGCAGAGAAAAGGCAGAAAAAGAAAGCTGAACTGCTCCTCCTCCTGATCCTGTAATGGGAACTGGCTAGTGAGGGGTCAGTGTGTTTCACCTGCCACTGATGTCTTAACCACGATACAGGGGCACACACAGGCTCCCTATGGATCAGCCATGTGCACAAAGCAAGGCACTTGCTGACAGTCTGTTTATCCTGGAGCATCAGGTTTAATTCAGCAGCCTCTCAAGCCAGGAGCAGAAGCATCATTCTACCTCTGAATTATGGTTTACAAGAATTATCAGCTTCATGTAGAGGTTAAGCTCTTTCCCCAAAGGAACTGTAAAGAAAAGCTGCCAAACTAATGCAACTCCTGTCACACAAGCTGATACCCAATAAACCAGTGACTGTGGGGTAACAGCAGCCAGGGGAGAAAAGCCAAGGAAAACCAAAAATAGGCATAGTGGGAGATTAGTATAGAATAGTTCTGTCTATCCTTCAACATCAAAAATAATCCCTGAGAACTCAAAGTTAGTTTTAATTTAACAAGATCATGGAAGCAGAAAAAGAGTAAGTAAAACACATATAGACTGTTTCCCCACTGACCCAATTTATGGAGCAAATCACTTCATATTAATTACAATTAATTTTCATTTACCACTAAAATTCCCCTTTTGCAACTGAATAAACTGTTACATTCCTGTAGGAGCTCTGCTTCCTAACGCAGCAGCCCAGAATCTCAATGCATTCCCATTTATCCTACACAAAACTCTGGGGGAACAAAAAAACCCCCAGTTTTTTCTCTTTTCTTTTACTCACATAACAATTAAGACCAACTACCTGTACTGTGTTATGCCTACAGCAGACCTCCCCAAGCTCCAAAACAAGGGACTTGCACAATTCATTTCCATCTAGTCCAGATGGCAGGATTCCACTTAGATCTAAACACATGCACACAGACAGCAAAGCTTCACTCCAGCTAAAGCCTGTGAAATTCAACTAACACTACAGGGTCAGCTGAGGTCTCAGAACAAAGTACATCTTGTTTTGCCTGTCCATGGAGAATGAACATTCCTTCCATCCCCGAGATGAGCAAAAGCTTCCCCATCACCTGCTCCTTCCCTTTCCCAGCCCCTCCTTGCAAAGAGCCCGCATTCCAGCACCCCACACGAGCAGAGCCCCTCGCACGCACCAGTGTGGGTGCGCAGGTGGGCTTTGAGGTGGGAACTCTTGAAATAGGTTTTCTTGCAGCCGGGGAAGTCACAGACGTAATTCCTCCGCCTGGAGAAGTCCACCTGGGGGGCACAGGTCTGGCCAGAAGCAATGAACACGGGAGCAGGGGCAAGGGGCAGGAGCTTGGTGCTGCCCACAGTCACCAGGGCCTGCGGGCACGGCGGTGCCTGCGTGACAGCGGGCTGTGGCAGAACCAACATGACAGTCCCCTGAGGCACAGAGGGGCCCATGAGCACAGGCTGGGGCAGCGGGGCTGTCTGGGGCAAGATGGGCTTCATGGGAGTTGAGAGTGCTGGAGCTGAAGGCTTGACATAGGCATTAATCATGCTGCTTTGTCCATTTAAAGGGATCATTTGACAGAGAACCTGGGGGCTTGAGACGGGGGCAGGTGTCACTGGGGTAGCTCTTTTTTGCAAGTCATTCTCACAATTCTTTGGTAAGTGGGTTTGTGGCGAAACAGGCCGGACTGGTAGCTGCCCTTTATTGGTCACAATATCACTGGAGTCATGTGCATAAGGCTGATGTGCCGGAGAGGTTTTGTTGATCAAATCATCCGCAGCCCACGTGTCCTGTGGCAGTCTGGAATGTTTTGGGTCATCTGCTCCACACCAGTCTCTGGAAGCGCTGTAGCCTGAAGTTACCTTTGTTTGCTCTTGCACAGCAGGAATGTGATGGTAAGCAGAACTATCACCTGTGTGCCGTATGACACTTGTTGCCATGGCCCTGCAGGGCTGAGGAGCAGGGAATTCAGAGATCACTGGCTTCTGCCTGCACGGTGGCCCCACGCTGGGAACAGATGGCTTGGGGGTGAGAGAGGCACCGGTGGCTGACGTGACTGAGCAGGCAGCTGTGTTTGCCATGACAGTCCTTGGTTTGGAGTAAGTCACCTGTGAGGACAGGAGCGTGGCTGCCGACATCTCAACGAAGTCAGGGCTGTGCGGAGGCGTCATGCACTGCAAAAAAAATCCACACCAGTGTGCATCAGTTCAATTCCACAGCACAGTTTTTCCCTATTTTTACTCTGAAAAATAAATTTACACACCCTCTCCCAGCATCTCAGAATGTGCCTCTTAGGACAAACTGAAAAAAGTATACTGCTGTGGTTTAATCCCAGATGGCAATCAAGTCCCATGAAGCTCACTCATCCTCCACCCCCAGAAGAATGGGAAGGAGAATTAGAAAAAGGTAAAACATATGGGTTGAGATGAGAACAAATTAATAATTCAAATACAGGAAAATACAATAATAAAAATATAAAAAACACAGATAAAGACAGAGAGAAATAAAGCTCAAGAGAAACAAATGATGCACAGTACAACTGCTCACCATCCACCTGGCCTGATCCCAAGCAGTGACTGGCCCCTTCTGGCCAACTCCCCCCAGTTTATACACTGAACACAATGCTCTATGGTATGGAATATCCCTGTGGCCAGATTGGTCAGCAGTGTTCTACCCATGCTCTCTCACAAGGCTTCTCCTCCTCACTGGCAGAGCAGGAGACACTGAGAAGTCCTTGGTTTAAGTGCTGCTGAACTGTGCTTACTGTAAAACATCAGTGTGTTATTAACATTATTCTCACCTTAAATCCATATCCCAGCTGAAAACAGGACAATATCTACCCCATATTCTATGCCATTTACATCATGCCCACACTTTTCAATACATCCCAATTAACCACCATTATTTTTCTTGTCTTTTGATACAGGTATCATTCCCTTAGTCTGTGGGCCATCCCTCTAAAACATCTGCTGAGCTCATTCATGCATTGCTTTGGGCTCCAATTCAGGGCAGAAAAGATGGTGTGCTATGCTGGACTGCTGCCTACTGAAGTTAGTTCTCATTCCATCACTGTTTGTCCAGTTTCATCAAAGTTTGTTCTTCATTAATCTGGATGATTCCTACTCTAATACCCCTGATGTTGCGTGTAGCCAGCTCAGCAGTGGTGACATGAGTGTTATCATACAGTCCAAATCACTGGCTGTTCTCACACAGAACCAGATCCCCTGGAACAAAACTTTGGACTTCCCTATCCTCCCACATTACCCACCAAGTGCAGCCAGGTCCTTCAGAACAGCAATCCCATGGATGAGGCTGTCATTGCCTGGTGCAGGAATAACTCAGATTGTATTCCCCAGAAGTTTTTTTGTGTGCACTACAGGGACTTTATCCCCTTCTACACTATGTAGAAGTTTTGCTTGAGCACAGCTGGCAGATCCTCTAGTGCTGACGCCCAGGTGACCTTTGCTAAATGTGTATCCCATTGTTTGAAGGTCCCACCACCCATTGCTCTCAGTAACAGTCTCTTCTATCATTCAATTTTCCTGGAGACTGGCACATGATAGGGTACGTGATAAACCCACACAATGCCATGCTTTTCAACCCAGGTGTCTGTGAGGTTGTGTTGAGAATGAATCCCCTTGTCTGGCTCAATTCTTTCTGGGGTGCCCTGTTGCCATAAGACTTGCCTTCCAAGGCTCAGGACAGTGTTCCAGGCAGTGGCATGGGGCACAGAATATGGTTCCAGTTATCCAGTGGTTGCTTCCACCATGGTAAGCACATGATGCTTGCCTGGGTGGGTTTGTGGGAGTCTGATAGAGTCCATTTGCCAAGTGTCCCCATATTTATATTTCAGCCATTGTCCTCCACACCAAAGAGGCTTTAACTGCTCATCTTGAATAACTGAAGAGTATGTTTCACAACTATGGATAGCCCTACAAGAGTGTCCATGGTCAAGTCCACCCTTGATCATCACCTCATCTACACATTGCATTTCCTCCTTGATGGCCTCAGATGTCATGGGCTCACCAAGCAATAAATAATTCACTCTGGTGAATCTTGCCAATCCAGATCCACCTGGGCCACTTCAATCTTAGAACTGCCTGATCCACCCATTGGTTGTTTTGATGTTCCTTGGTGGCCCAAGTCTTGGGTACATGAGCATCCACTGATGTACCCTTACAAGCAGGGTCTCCACCCAGGCAGCAGTATCTTGCCACAAGGCAGCAGCCCAGATGGGTTTACTTCTGCTCTGCTTCCATCACTGCAACCACCACCACAGGACATTTGCCACCACCCGTGAATCAGCACAGAGATAAAGCATTGGCTGTTCTTCCTGTTCAGCAGTGTCTAAAGCCAATGTTCACCTCTGCAAAGTAACTCAATTCACCTTCTCCTTCAGCAGTTTCTGTAATTTTTTGTAGAATACACCATACAGCCACTTTCCATCTTCAATGCTATCCTACAACACAGCAGGAATCAAACAGGGCATATTGTTTCTCATTTTTGGGTAACTTATTACACAATAGAGTCTCTTCAGCACATGTCATCTCCTCAGCAGGTGGCATCCAGGAGTCTGCCTCTCACCAATTCCAGGAGTCTTGGAAGTAATCACAATGACTGAGGTTTCCTATTTGAGCACCCAGTGTGACCAGCAAGACCCACTGATTCCACACAGCATCAGCCTATGTGATGTGTAGGAGACTCATCCTTGGCACATCCAGCCCTGGAATCAGGATGCCAGGGGGAGCTGTGTTCAGTACCAATCACTTCCAAAGCAGCTGGAACCTCTTTGTAAGCTGCCAGTATCTGTTTTACAGCTGGAATACAGTGGGCTGCAGATCCTCAGTACCCCTGACTCCAAAATCCTAGAGGCTGACCAATTCTCCCCTGTGCTTTCTACCAGAGGTTCCAGGTAGAGCCATTTTCTTGGCTGTGGTCTAGAGCACAATTTTTGTATCTTGTCCTGCCTGGACTGGCCCAAGGGTTGGGGCAGAGTTAATTTTCTGCATGAATTATCTCCTGTTTAAGTTGTTCAAAGGCTTGTTGTTGTTCAGGGCCCCATTGAAATCACTCTTCTTCTGGGTCACTTGACAGAGAAGGCTGACAATCAGACTGTAATTTGGAATGTGCATTCTCCAAAAACCCACAATGCCTAAGCTTGTGTTTTTCTTACTAGTTGGTAGAAGTGTATCTGCTATTTTGTTAATCAAATCCATTGGGATCTGATGACATCCACCTTGCTATTTTATTCCTAAAAACTGGATCTGCTATGCAGGCTCCTGGAGCTCACTTTGTTTTATGGCAGCTTTCAGAGAGATCTGGACTATTTTCTTCCCTTTCTCAAAAACTTCTGCTGCTGTATTGCTCACAAGTGCTCTGGAACTGGATCAGTCCATGGCAAATGGTTCAAAGTTTTGCCATGTGGGTTGGGCACACTGACTTCATCTGGATCTGTGGGTGACTGTGCCTTGCTCATGTCATAAAAAACCCCCCTGGTACAGCTAATTCCCTCAGGTACCTTTCCTTCACACTTGAGCGAGTTGCCTCCACAGGCTGAAGACTTGTGACATTTTTCCAATCACCTTGTCAATCAGTGGTCTCTTTCCTAGGAAGTCATCCCAACTGCTTCGCTTCCCTATCTCCTAATTCCAGCTACTAGCCCCACTGGAGCAGCCAGGTGATAATGTGCACACCTGGACAGCAGCTAAAACCTCTTCACATCCCTCAGGGACAGGGACTGAGTGGTTACCTCTTGTTCTGTCTCTTCCTCCATCCAGTTTTTGTGATGGCCCTGCTTCATCCTCCTTCACTAAATGAGCTGACTTTGGTGTCCATTTCTTCTTGTGTACAAGCAAACTGACAATGGCACAAGCTCATCCTCTGGCTCAGCTGCATCATCCCCTGCTGGGGTCTGAGTGGTCACACTGCATGTGTGATGCCAGGGTCTGAGCAGCCACAAACAGTTGCTTAACCCTAAACAAGACCTGAACCACATTCCCAGCTCCTGGTCATTCAAAGACCATCGTTTCAGCATCCCAAGGATATTCAAAATTTCCAAAATTCCCATGGCTGGAGAAGAAGGGGAAGATTGTGCGTGTCTTCTACAATGGTTGGCTCTCCAAGGCAAAAAGGCAAACAGTGTCACTATTGGCAGTTTCTAATAGAGGGTTCCCCAAGTACAGAGGTGATGACAGGGGAGCTGAGAGTATGAAAACCAGATTAGTTTCAAGGGCAGCAGTTCTGTGCTGTCACATAATCCAGTGTTACAAAGTACAACAAAATGATAACCTTAGCCCAGCCCCCAGAGATGATACCATAACACGAGGGGGAAAATACACAAGAAGTAAATTGTTACATAACACAACAACCTTGATAGCAAATAATTCAACACTGTGATCAACAACTAATAAACTAATAAGATGAATCCTGATAACAAATTTGTTTCAGTACAGTCTGGTCAGATCTGTCATAGAGGACTATCAGAAAGATAAAACTCATGTGTTGACACAAGAACAAGTTAATAATTGGAATAAACTAAAATATAATAACAACAATTGTAATTATTATTACAGGGAGGTACCAAAGAGAGAGAGCAATAAAACCCAGGAGAAACAAGTGGTGCACAGTACAATTGCTCACCATCCACTGACCAATGCCCAGGTCCTTCCCAACATCACTGGTCATCCCAGTTTTTATGCTGGCCATGACACTCTATGGTATGGAATATCCTCCTGGCCAGTTTGGATCACCTGTCCAGGCCACGCTACTTCCCAGCTTCCTGTGCACCTCCTCACTGGTGGGAATCTGAAAAGTCCTTGACCTGGGTGGGGTAAGCACTGCTCAGCAACAACTGGAACATCAGTATGTTACCAGCACTATTCTATTCTAGATCACAAACACAGCACTGTGCCAGCTACTAGGAAGAAAATTAACTCTATCCTAGCCAACACCAGGACACTACATTGCCTTATCTCATGGCCATTCTGATTAAGCTCAGAAGTGTATTAATAAAAGGAAGCCAATGAGGCAGCTGTAAACCTGCATAAAACACTGCAAGTACACTCACTGCACCACAAAAAAGTCTTTCATTGCTCCCTTCTCAGCAATGGGCACAGCTGTAAGAGGCTATGAGCAGAATAAAGAGACCAACAATAGACAGCAATACTCCACTTTTCTATTTCAAGCTCCCAGCAAGCCCTAGATCTTTTCTCAACGATTACCTCATTGTTTCATGGCTACCTTTTATATAAAGACAAATGAAACTGCTCTGTCCCTTCTTATTCATCCGTTTCTCTTTATGCTGTCTTCCTGCATCACCTCTTCTTCCTCCTTTCCCACTGAAGGGTATCTCCTGTGCTGCTCAAGAGACAGTGTCAGCACTGAGCAGCAGGAGATATTATGGCAGCTGCTTGTCAGGCTCCTCTATCTCAGCCTCTTTCCTCTACTATTCCCCTTTTACCTGGCAACTGCATACTAGAAGCCTACTGGTTGAAATGGGCCTTAACCATCTAAAACCCTAATGGCACCAAGCCTTTTTTTTAATAACTACTTTTGTTGCAACATAAATTGAAACAAAAGAAAAAAAATTGGATTCAACCAACATTAGTCAGCTGGAGTGGACCAGTGTCTGGAGAAATAACAGACTACATGTACAAACACATCGTACAGAAACTAATTAAATTGCCTATTTCATAATGGCAACGTGTACTTTCTCTTACAATGACCAGTGAAGCATAACATCATCAAGGGCCTTTTTTCACACAGTGCCTGCAGAAATGTTGATGCCAAATCACCAAGGCTCACTCTGCCATTCCTACTCAAAGTGCTCCAAGGAACCTACAACAGCCATCTCGACATCCCTGTCAAATCCAATAATCTGTCAGCAAGGGCTTTCACACCTAAATTTAACAAAAGCCTCTACATTTGCTAAACCAGAGACAGCACAAAACCACAAATTCAACATGCCCACCTCACTACTCTGTGCACAGCACCGGCTGTGGCAATGGGACACCTGAGCAAGCCTGTCTTTTCCAGCCAATTTAAAGCATTGCAGGGATGTGACACCCACATGTTGGGCATATTTGCTTGGTGTCCATGCTTTTCTTACCAGTGTCGATAGACAGTCCTTTGGTAACTCAGCCGGAGCCTCGGCGTGCATTGTGAAATCCCCAGAATCCGAGAAGGGCGTGAGGGGCCTTATCTTTAATGTGTCACCTTTCTGTGATCTTTGCCCCCAGGAGCTCATACAAACAAGGGCTTCAACAGCTTCGATGTCGTTCTGCTCCAAGGTGCTGCAGGTGGACCTCTCGCTGTCATGGCGCTGCCGCTCCCGGATGGACTCGTAGATGTCCACAATGTCAACCTGAGCGCAATCGGATTACCGGCTGTTAGCACGAGTCAGAGCACAAAACTGACACCACCCACACACTGTCTGCTCACAATGAAGGTCAACTGAAACAGATCCCATGCCCGTGGCAAGACTTTTACCAACTGGCTCATCTCTCACTCTCCCCCGAGCAGCTCGTCTCCACATTCCCTTCTCTTAAAAAAAAAAAAGGAAGACATGTGATTTTCCAGGAAAAGAACACATATGTGTGTGGCTCACATTTCCAAGCTTACTTTCCTGGATGACACTGCTCTGAACAAACACATCCCATGCTTCCATACAAGCATAAAAGAGGAAAATCCTGACTTTGAACCTTGTTTAGAGAAGGCTGTTTCCTGAATCCAAAAGACTATTCAGCACTAATCTCATTCTGGAAACATTTAGAAGTTAAATTTCAGCTGCCAGTAAGATGCTTTTAAGGTATGATCATTGACTTGGAGTACTGCACATCACAAAAGATTTTTAATCTTATTTTTAACAGGGAAGCCAGGATGGGGAAAAGATGGAAGGAAAATAGTTTTCTAAGTACAGTGGAACTGTTTGCATTGTACTTCAGAAAGGCCTGATGCTACATAGGTGCTAGGTATCTAAAACACACTCTGAGTAAAACGAAGACAGATGTAATCACACTGACTTGTTTCCAATTGCAAGCATCACAGAATATTTTTGTGTGCATGTGTACACATGCAAAACACTTGACTTCTCTGCACAAGGATATCCAAACTTCACAAAGCTCTCACAGTGCTTGGCAGTGGCTCCAAAAGCTATGCTAGCCTGATGGGTTATTACTCACATGCCAGCTCAGTCTCAACTAGGCATCCAGGTTCCTCCAGTCTTTAGAAACACCAACTAACCTGAAGGCTGAGATTCAGAAGTGTGGACCAAGCCTCTTGAGCCCACTGCTGTTACACAGAGTGTTTATGTACTGCAGGAAAAAGGTTTTAACTCTATAGGCAACACCACACCATGAGCATGGCCTCAAGCCCTAGAAGGGCATGAAGACATGTACACTAAGTCAATGGGTTTTGTTACTGAGTTAAGTAAGGCGGGATGACCCTTATTCAACAGTGTCACAAAGATGGAAAGCTGTGTTTACACTCTAGGGATGTGCAAGCAAATATGCTAAGCAAAATGGATCAAAAATATTGGTACTGCACTCACAGAGGACTTTCACCTACAACATGAAGTACCAGGCATGGAGATGTCATGATGTGGGGGCTGGAAGGGTTAAAAGCAATGAACACGTTGGAGAGAGACTTCTAAGAATTTCCACTGAAAAACAGTGAGAGGAAAACAAGATGTGTGCCTGCAAGCCTGAACCTCAGTCGCCTGTCACACGGGGCCACGCCAGGCGAGGCTCTGCACCGAGCAGACAGTCTGCCAGTGCTCCTCCAAGCGCGCCTGCAAGCAGCCAAGCTCACAGGCTTATATTCTCCAACCCTACGTTTCAGGACAGCAGCTTTCCCTAAAGAAACGTTAAAAAAAATGTGCCTCGCTTCCTCAAAAAACACCCCGAAATCCAAAAAAACACCCTCACAAAAAAAGCTCTTTCTGCAGACGAGCGCTGCAGCGCGGGCTCGCCGGCTGCTGCCAGGGAAATGGGCAAGCGCGCCGGGCGCCTGTCCTCACATCACCCCGCCGGGAACGACGTGCGGGATGCCGGCAGGATGGGCACCGGCAGGGATGGGCGGGAGCGCGGGCAGGATGGGCACGAGCGGGGCGGGTCGCCGGCGGGAAGGATGGGGCACGGTCAGGGAGCATGGTGAGCGGGCAGGGAGATGCGGGCAGCGCGGGTCGCTCCCGGGCAGGACCCATCCTGCGGGCAGTGCGCGCTGCAGGGCAGCGGGCGGGCGGAGCCGCGGGGGCAGCGCGGGTCCCAGCGCAGGCAGCGCCTCCCGCCGCCCGCAGGGGCCCCCTCCCGCTCCCCGCCCCACGGCGGCTGCCCGGGGCCGGGCGGTGCCACCGAAGGGAGAATGGCGCGAAAGGAAGGAGGAGGAGGAGAAGGGGGCGGAGGGCAGCTCCCACCCTGCCGCCGCCCCCGCACGGTGGCTGAGGGAGGGCCGCCCCCCTTCCCTGCAGGTGACCGGAGCAACACCCCCTCCTGAGGGCTCTGCCCTGGCACAGCCGCCCTGCACCCCCTGCCCAACCAAGCCGCTCCCCGCCGGGTGAGTAGCGGTCCCGGCCGAGGTGGGGACGGTCCCCGCACTGTGCCCGCCACCGAGCACGTGCCCGGGCTGCACTGGCGCTGGCCATCCCCACCGCCCCCGCTTCCCTCCCTCCCTCCGCGCGCCCGGTGCTCACCGCGGGCGCATCTCCCATGTCCGAGCAGGGCGAGCCGTGCATGGCGCGGCTCGGGCGGGCGGCGTTGGCAGCGGTGCTCCCGGGCAGCAGCAGTGGCGGCGGCGGGAGCAGCGGCGCGCACACAGCGGCGGGAGCGGCACCCGGCAGCGCCGCCTCCTCCCGGCCCCGCCCGCCGGGAGCGGCGCGGCCGTGCGCTGGGGGAGCGCTCCGAGCGTGGCCTGCGCCAAACAGCGCGGGGGGGACGGCCCCGGCCAATCAGCGCCCGTCGCCGCCCGCGCCCGGCCAATGAGCGGCGGCGGGCGGCGTGATCGCGGCGTGCCGGCGGGAAGGGCGGCGCGTGGGCTCGGCCGGCGGGAAGGCGGGGCGGAGGCGGGGCCGGCAGGGGCGGGGGAGCGCGCACTGGAAACTGGGGGAAAGGTCGGGGGCGGGCGGCGGCCGGGGATGCCCGCGCGCGGGGGGCGGAGCCGCCGCTGGGCCCCGCCCCTCCAGCGGTGCGTGCGGCGCGGCACGAGCGCTCCCGCCAACCGCCGCCCGCGTGCGTGCGCGGGAGCACCGCCGGTGCCGCGGGTTCCCGCCAACCACCGCCGGCTTCCCGCCAACCACCGCCAGCTTCCCCGTCTGGGAACAGCGCCCCTGCTCCCGCAGCTTCCCCGTCTGGGAACAGCGGCCCTGCTCCCGCAGCTTCCCGCCACCCGCTGCCAGTTTTGCCGTCGAGGTCCTGCCTGCCACGTACGACAGGGAAGGGGTCGGGTGCCTGCCCGGCCACGGCACTGCTTTGCCGGATGAAAGATTTGGGATCACAAATAGCCCTAAACTCCCTCCCAAAATCCGTGAAGGGTCAGTGTTATGGATCATTGGATCCCAAGGTGGATCCCAAGGTGGATCCCTCGAAGGCCTCCCCCGGGCCAGCCCAGGATGTAGCTCTTAAAAGCCTTCAAGTCACAACATATATTCTATTAAAAAATGTGTGTTCTTCAGTTTTTCCTGTCCCCAGCCCTTGTTTTCATTTTCCAGTGGCAGCTGAAGTGTGTTGGCCCTGTGATTCCCAACAGGATTTGTGGTTGTACTGAGCAGCACCAAGTGCTGGCAGTGGTGGCACGGAGCACAGCTGGGGCAGCTCTGCATCTCATAGCCTGCCATGGGACAGGAAAGACCCGGGTCCCCAGGGGGGATCAGACCTGGGTCCCTATGGAGGGTCAGACCTGGGTCCCCAGGGAGGGTCAGACCTGTGTCTCATCTCAGGGACAGGACAGATGTGGGTCCTACAGGCTGGCTTCGCCAGCACTATCCCAGCCCACCCTGCCCCTTCCCTTATGCCTCCTTGACACAGAATGAGGACAGCAAAAAGCATTTTATCCTGCTGTATTATCTCTATTTGTTCCTTCCCTGGTTTCTCAAGATGTTACATCCTCAAGTGTCCACACAGAGAATCATCTTGAACCTCTGGGCACCTTCTGCTGTCAGCTTCATTTTGCCACTGGGGTTTATTTGTTCCATTACAGCTGCTCCAAATCCCCGTCCTTCCCTGCCGTCCATGCAGTTCCTAAAGCTTCACTGCACTGTGCTCATCCCTGCTCTCCATTGCTGCACATTTCAGTTTTCCCAGCACTGGCCCATCCCAGCTCACCAAATAAGAAGTGAAAGGGATCTCCCTGGCCAGCTCTCTGTGCATGGGTTTCCAGCAGCTTTCTCTCTGTATTTGCATGAGACTTGCTGTGCTGGAGCCCTGGCCTCTGCTGTGGGATGGGAAGGAAAATGCTGATAATTCAAACTGCAAATCAAGTTCTAACATTGGAGAGTTTTGTTCACTCACAGGAGGGAATCGGTTGTGTGACAGAGAATGGAAAAAGTTTGTGAAAATGCTGTTGGTGACTAAAAAGCACAGTTGAGGTGGCACAGTGGGGACACGGGGTTAGTGCCTCTCAATTGCATGGATCCTTTTCAAGAATAACCTTTAGGGAATTGTAAAATTAGGAAAATACTGTTCTATTTTGCATGTTTTCCAGTTCTGCTGTTGTTGGGAATGGCTTGTGTTTTTCTCCTTGCTGCTTGTTGTAACACATGCAGCTCCTGCTCTAAGCACTCACTCGCACAGCCTTAGTCATTGCCAGCAGAGACTTTTAATTGAGTCAGAGCATCTGAAGGCAGCACAGCACCTCACCAAGGAAGAAGCAGTCACAGGAAAGCAGAGTTGGAATCATTTCTCCTGACTCCCAACAGGGTGTTTCCCATGTCACACACCACAGACTCTGCCTACCTGTTCCAGGTTCCCCAGGAGTCCTCGCTACAGCTCGTGGATGCAAGACCAGTTGAAAGAAGTGATGTTACAGGTCTGTGCTCCAACTTGTGCTACAGGGAAAATGTGCTTGATTATGTTCTCCTTGCTGAGTAAAAATGGCAACTCAAGTTTTTTAAATAAATCTGTGGAACTCTTACCAAAGTCATCTAGTTTGCCTTTCTCTGCTGCTGCCAGCTGAGGCAGTGTTAGATGAGGAAGGAGCACCTTCATCCTCATGTCAAATATCAGGAGTCTGAACCCCACAGAGCCTGAGTCCCCAGCCCTGGCAGCTTTAGAGCTTCTCCCTCTCTCATGACTCCTACTTCTCCCTGCTTTCTTTCCTTTCCCAAGGCTGCATCAAGGTGAATAATAAAGCAGTTAACATTATCCTGCTTCTTTATACTTGTGCCTACACCCACTGATTTCCCCGTGGGTTTCACCCAGCAGCACAGCTTCCTGAGCAACACACAAGTGAGATCCTTGGGATGATCCATGCTGGCTGCAGTTTCCCTCCTTGCAGGTAGTAACCTGGAACAAAGCCCAGGTATGCTCAGTACTCCATTCCAAAGAGCTCAGAGCAGCCTCCCCACGTCAGTGACTGCGGGATGCCTGGCTGTGGCAAGGTGACAGTCCCTGCCTGGCTGTGGCAAGGTGGTGTCCCTCCCAGCAGGGCCATCCTGCACCAGCCCCCCTCCCTGCAGCGCTGCTGCTGCTGCTGCTGCTGTGGTATTCTCTGGATGGGGCTCTCCGAGGACTGTGTGGTTTCATAAAGGGCTGTTTAACTCAGATCCCTGGCAAACACTTCAGAGAAAAGCTGTCTTTGTTGGAGATACACAATGCCTTTGTTCCAAGGTAGGAAGGAGCAGATGTAAGTGGCTGCAGTGCAGGGTTGAGAAGGCTCTGCTCTGGTTATCTTATCCTTTTGGCTGGGATGACAAGAAAGAATCAAACATCCTGTGTGAGTAGCAGGGAAAATAATTAATACTGGAGATGGAGAACAACAAAAGGTCATGCAGGCAGCTCTCCCCCATTCCCTTTTTGTAGCTAATTATGCCATAAACCATTCAAAAGAGACTGAATGGAGAATATTATGGGCTCAGACAGTTTTCCTAATATTTACCAGTAGTTAAAAATAGACCAAAGCAGTTGTCTGGGGTGCAGCTCTACAGTTACTGCATTTTGGCAGCAGCATCTGAGCTGGCTGCATACAGCAGCAGGCTACTGTAGCAAACACACAGAGCCTAGCAAATGGCTAAATAAATATAGATATCTGTCTAAATAAATATAGATAACTACAATCAGAGCTCCCGTGCAGGGGCCATGAGAAGATACATGGGAGGAAGTGAAAGACTGTGATAGCATGCATGTAGTGAGACATGTGAGGATGCATCTCTGTCCCCTCTCCCTGCTCTGTTGTGAAGGACAGAGCAGTCAGAGCTGCCACAGCCCCAGATTGTCCCAAACCACACTTGCTGGGCAGGCAGCAGCAGGCAGAGGAGAAATGCCCCACCAGAGGGGAGCTCTGCCAGGTGGTGTCTGTCATCAGCTGATGGAAACTGCAGCAGCCCCTGGCCAAGGGCAGGAGCAGGACAAGGACCAGAGGGATTCACCCAGGGGAACAGCAGAGATACAAAAGGTACTTATGGTCAGAGTTATATACAAGGTATCTCTGAGAAATAGTGGGGGAAAGGGATAAAAGGGATAACTATGAAGAATAGAGATGGGAAGAAAAAGAGAATAAAAGAAAGCAGGCAGACAAGAAATATTTCTTGGTAGAATAATTTCAGAATGTAAAAGTGATGATAAATCCACGGGCTTTTACAAAGCCTGGTGTGGCTGACACCGAGTGTGTGTGAGGGACGTTTTGGGGAGTTGCCTCTTTGCTGTGGAGCCAGCGGGTCCCGCCAGGCTCGGGCTGCGGGGACAGGGACGGGGACAGGGACACGCCGTGGGGACAGGGACACGCTGCAGGGACAGGGACACGCTGCAGGGTCAGGGACACGCTGCAGGGACAGGGACACGCTGCGGGGACAGGGACAGGGACACGCTGTGGGGACAGGGACACACTGTGGGGACAGGGACAGGGACACACTGCGGGGACAGGGACACACTGCGGGTACAGGGACACACTGTGGGGACAGGGACAGGGACACGCTGCAGGGACAGGGACACACTGCGGGGACAGGGACACACTGCGGGGACAGGGACAGGGACAAGCTGCGGGGACAGGGACACGCTCCCGGCGGAGCCGAGGGCAGCGCGGGGCAGGGACTCGCAAGAGGCAAGGGCAGGGCAGACGTGCTGTCCCCCGCTCTGTCCCGCTGCGTGTGGCCAGCTGCCCGAGGGGACATCTCGTTTGTGCCGGGTATCGCATGGCGCAGCGAACGCCGCCGTCCGCCTACGTGTCTGCCAGCAGGGACAGCCCGGGACAGACAGCAGCCTGCACCCAAAGCCAGGACAAAACCACGGCCCTCACGGGCTGGCCCCAGCAGCTCTGAGTCAAAAGTCAAATTCTTCCTCGCCTGCATCTTTGGTGTTCGCTTTCAGAAGCAGATTGAGCTTCTGGTGCATGGGTAAGCATCCAAGGAGTGGGGACACAGCCAGCACAGCGTAAGGAAACATAGCCAGGCTACAACAAAAGGAAAGGCTTTAAGAGAAGAGCCACAAAAACTGTTTCCTGCTCTATTTTAGACCCAGTGTGCCGATAGAGTAAACACACACTGCCTTTTTTTTTTCCTTCTTCACTCCCAAAAATATGTTTCTT